ACAGTGATCAAGTAATATACAATTAAGTGTCGAACCCATGAGAACTATATGTTTAATCGAGTTAAAGATATTAACATGCTTAATCGAATAGAAATGTAGAGTTGTAACAAATCAATCTCTAATTTTTCGACTAATGCGAAAGCAAAGTAAATGTTTATCAAATTTATGAGATGTATTGCTAAAATGTAGAATCTCCCTTCTTATCCATTTTTAGTTCAATCGTTTAAAGTGACAATTTGAGATCATTCTTGTTGGTCAATGTTCATATTTTAATTAAAAACTTCTCTCGATAGCAATTATATCTAATCCTAAATATGACCTTCCTATATCTTATGATAGATACGAACATGCAAGAAAATATTAAATGAGCTAGAACATCTATAGAAATCATGTAAAGTATATATGTATGTCACTACGTGCTAACAATCCTATTACCTCTCTCGAAGACGATAGAACCCACAATTAATTCAACTAATGGCAAATTAATTGAGAAGCAAACTAAACCATAATAAATATCCAATCGTTCAAACAAATTAACATCAATCCATTTATTCGAACAAAAATCTTATAACAAAGGTTCATCTCATCCTAACAATGTAAAAACATCTAGCCGAACATTTTGAAATTACAAGAAATTATTCTAAGTTTGATAAACATCATCCGAAAATTAAATAATTGAAGAGAAGTCTTGAATTCTTGATCTCTCTTGAGTTTTCCTTCCAATTGTTGTGCAAATCTCCTGGTATGAATTATGTTGATAATATTCTAATAGTTCCACAATTTAATTATCTCCCAATTATGAATTCACCTTATTTTCTAATATATTTCTCGTGAATCTTGATGTTCTTGAGTTGTCTTTTTGCATAAAAGAGGCTCTCCTTAATGTAGAAGACATTCTAGTATTTATATGGCTTGAATCTAGGTTGAAAATATCGCCCAAATTCTTTCCAAGTAGAGTTTTAATCGTATAAGGAAATATGAGATTTGACTCATTTTTATAACTATGTGACCGCATAGTTCATCATAATGAGGCCCCATAGTTCAATTGCTAAGCTTTGATGTTTTTTTGCAGAGTGCCATTCAATTGCATGCCCAAATTCATTATGCATCTCATAGTGCAATTTTTGGCTACCTTTTCCATTTTTTCACTTTTTGGTCCGTGTACTTCTATGCATCGTCTTTTTCTTCCTTCTCACCTATAGTTTTTCCCTCTTAGGCTCCAAGTGTATCAAATTGAACCACTAGCATCTTCAATCTTCAATTCATTGTTTAATTCGACTATTGGCTTGTTGCTACTTCTAAATTTTACTTTTCTTTAGGACTTTTCCTTTTTTCCTTTCAATTTCTTGTTCAACGATTGAGTTTACCTATTTAACACAAAATGCAACAATTTAGAATATGTTTCATCAAAAGAACAAGTAAAAATCGCTATTTAAGGCCACGAATTAGTGTATAAAATACACTCATCAAACACTTCCAAACTTAAACATTTGTTCATCCTCAAACAAAGCTATAATCTAAATAACAACAAATACACAAGTATGCAAAGATATTTGGTTAGACAGTCTAGCTTCTTACCTCGAATTTAAGATTTTAGTGTTAATTTCACAAACATGCTTCAAAGTCTCACATAAAACCAATATCAACTCTTTCAATGCAAAATCGATATATGTGTGAGGAATTAAGTAATCAACCATGAATACACAAATTGTTACAATTCTCAACCCTTTGTAGTCAAATATATCATTTCATCTCTCTATGATTCACACACAAACACTTTTCCTTTTCTTTTCACTTGTTCCCAATGTCGTACTCCAAGGTTGAGTTCTCGCCATATTTAGTTCAGGTAGACATCACTAGTTGCAAGTCAATGCATCAATGAAAAAGGGTTTTCCAATTATTTGATTGCTTCGACCGCCAAGACTCGACTAGGCTAATTATCCTTCATCAAAAGTCAAATTTCCTCAAACAAGTATTTGGGACTTAGTTAAGGCATTTAATACTTTTGCCTTTTTCATACACATTTTTTTTCTGATTTTCAAAAGTAATTTTCTTTTTACATTTCCTCCCTTTAACTTTCTAAATGACCCATGTAGCAAGTTTTAGGCCGATGACTCTCAAATCCGATGATCTTAGGGAACTAGACTTCAAACACGCTTACAGGCTTAATAGCCCAAGTCAGAAGAGAACTTATTGTTGTTTCAAGTACAACTTCATATTCAATTGGTTTCTAAATGACCCTTGTATCAAGTTTTCGATCGATGACTTTCAAGTTAGATGACTTTAAGGCACTAGATTTTTAGACACCCTTATAGGCTTAATTCCTTGTGTCATAAAGGCTTCAAAAAGAAGTTTCAAATTTCATAAAAAAAAATTCTTTGATTAGTCAACGTTCCTTATCAAACTCCTATTCAAGCAAATTGACCTCCAACTTATGATTTTCACCCAATTTTATCCTGTTAGTCTAAGACAATCCACACATAACGTTTTCACACAAGAAATCCATATTTACATCCATATCTTCCTAAAACAGTAAAAATCATCCCCAAATTATAATAAATTTGGTCTTTGAACAATTAATTTAAGATAATTTTGGGTATGGTATCTATATTCAATCTTTCTACCTATCCAACATATAAATCAACATATTGCATCATGATGTAAAACTCAATTCTTGTGAGCGTATAATATCGAATTCTACAAGGGTAATAATTAAAAAATTTATGCATAATTCAGTTCGAAAGTCAACTGCCACCAACACATACTGATTGTTGTAGGAAGATAAAAGTGATCCCATAAAATCTATCTCTCAAACATAAAAACTCCACTAATCGAATTCAAAGGCATCTAATTCGTTTTAGAGATCACACCTGTAGTTGGCATTGATCACAGTATTCACATATTCATGAGCATCCATAATCAGCAAGGGCTAATAAAACATTGATTATAGAACTCTCGCTGCTGTATTTGAAGACCCAAAATGTCCTGTATAAGTTGAAGAATGAAAACATTTAGAATTTGAGAGATTTCCTCATTTGGTACACATCTTCGAATGATCTTATCAGCACCCCCTTCTGTATATATACAATCCTCCTAATGATAATATTTCAACTCTGAGAAAAACTTCCTTTGGTGTGCATTAACATAGGTGAAAGAACATTACAGCCCATGTAATTCACTATGTCCATATACCATTCCCAACTGTTAATTGCAAAGATATGCTCATCTGGGAAATAATATCGATTTTGCATGTTTAAGCCTTGGAGTTTTCACTTTTCTTCTTATCTCGGATATCGAAATCAAACTCTTGAAGGAGAAGTATCCATTGAATCAACCTAGGCTTTGTATCCTTCTTAAACATCAGATATTTCAAGGCTGTAAGATCTATGTAGACAACTGCCTTCTGTCCCATGAGATATGATTTGAACATATTGAAGGCAAACATAATAGCTAGCAGTTCCCAATCTGGTACAACTATAACCATCGTCGAAATTAACTTTATTTTAGAGGGATGAAGCATGTCAAACACTCTTCATAAAAATTGAATGTATCCTTTTCAAGTAAGTTGCAAAGATGCTTGGTGATTTTGGAGAAATCTTTAATAAATCTCCTGTAAAAACCCTGCATGGCTAAAGAAACTACATACTACTTTAATTGAAATTGGTGGAGTAGCTTCTCTATCACTTGAATCTTTGCATTGTCTACCTCGATACCAAGAAGAGCATATCATATAGCAAGTACATGAAAGTGATTTTAGTTAGCTCGAAAGTGTTTAGACTAAAGGATATTGCATTTAAACTTATTCCTTCTAGTGTTGTTTATTTGCCAAACACTATATATTGGATCATAAGTTTTTGGTACATGCAACTTAGTGTTGCAATGTGGAGAAACTCACGATAGTATCAAAGACTACTCAATTCGATCTTAGTTGTAGTTCTTCTAAGAGTGGCTCTAACTTGAATTTATTCATGGTAGTTCTGTTCGTACTCACAGTGGTATATTTATTATTGTTCTAAATATTTCTATAATGTTTCGAGGTTTTAAGTTCTAAAAACCATTTACAAACTGTAAGAGCCAAACTTTCATACTGTAAGTCCATCTAAATTTCTTTATAGGCTATGACTAAAAGAAATAGAGATGTAACGTAATTTTCCATTACATTTATAGATGGATTCACACAGTTCAATTGTGTTTCTGATTTTCGTAAGTTATGACATTGAATTGATTTATAATTTATTGAAGAGAGTATAAAAATCATATTATAGAAGTGAAGACTTTGATAACTGTTTAAGAAAGTGAATCTCTATCATGAGAATTCAATGATCCTTGTTTGTCAAAACTATATAGTGTATTGTGTAAAAGAAATGGAGTATTGCTTAATGTGATTATTTATGAAATAATGAAGTCCAACTTATTTTCTTTTGGAGGAGAGCTTTAGTCAATTACAATACATCATCAACGTTAGTACCTTTAAAATTGTATAAGCTTTGGACATATAGTTAATCAAATATGGAAACTCATAACAGACTCTATAAGTTTTTTATTTTTTCAAATAACTTTGAAAAATGAGTCTGTTAAGACCGAGATGTAACTCTATTAGGTACATATGACTATTGAAATAGTATTTATTTGTAAGTGAGATTTTGGATAGATATTGAGTTATGAGATGTGATATTTGACATTTTTCCTGGTGAATGAGAAATTTTGGAGAATATTTGTGAATCAGTTAATGTGCGTAAGAGTTGTTTTAAGATTTTGATTCAAGTGAGGGTAATCTGTTTTTGCATGGGAGCAATCTAATTTCAGTTATTCTTATTTCAATGATTCTTTGTTCTGAAATCCCCTTAATTATATGATACAAAGACGAAGAATTGAGCAAAGTAGTGAATATATATATGTGTGTGTGTGTGTGTGTGTGTGACGATCTGACTTCTAAAGATTTCAATATCACTAAAATCATATCTTAAATACTACAATGCACTTTAAAGTACTTAGTATCATGAAATAATAAGAGTGAATGCATAACTTAAAATTCGACATCAAAATAAAAGAAAATACTAAAAGTTTTAGCAGGATTAATAGCTAAACCAATAATTAACAAAGTTCTAAAGCCTGGTGGATCTCCATTTAGTTGTTAATTCGCGACCCATCTCATGCCTTGATTGCCAAAAACCATTCATTTCCTAAAAACGAAAAAGGAGGGGTGTGAGATAAAATACAATAAGAATATAAGTACATGAATTAACATGGTACAGAATTTAATAAACTTTTTACATACATAGGGAGACAAAAATTTATAGCGAATATATGATATGGAATTTTCATGCGTAGACTGTACTCTGGTTTAAATCTTAAAACATACATAAATAACCCCATTATCAATGTTCCAAAAACATAGCGTATGCATATAATCCCATAAAAATACTTATACACTTACTTATATCTTGCAAAAAATAAGAGAATTACTTTACAGTGTTTGAGACTTCAACACTTGATCGATGTGATAATTAATGAATATAGTATATTCGTGATTGTGGGTGTATGTATTTCAAAGACAAGTGAATGTATTTGAAAATAGAACATATGATGGATGTTTATAGGCACACTGAAAACATACATTCGTCTTCAGAAGTTAAGTTCTCAAATGGTGCTTCCGGAATTTGCTAGTGGAATCTCTCATTCCCATCTTAAGATGGATCACCTTTACCTATCTTTGAGAAGTTCTAATTTTCTTTGCCCTTATTATCCACCCATTTTGCTTCCTCGACTGCCCATTCTACTGCTATTCAAGCACTACCACAACCTATCTCAAGTCATCCATTAAACCCCATTTGAAACATCTCATCTTCTTCTCCTCTATGTCTACAAAAGTAGGGACATATGAGATAAGTCTTAATATTTGGTCAATAACATTGAGTCTTGGGTCAATGTGAGAAACTCAACTTCCTTCCAATTTTGAACACTCATGGGGTAGTAATTTTTCAAAAAGAGTTCCTTAAATTCGTTCCATGTCCCCTTGACCTTGCGATGGAGTCTCACCAATGTCTAGCACCACTTTCAATATAAATGTTGCACATATAACCCTTCTAGGATCTAGGCAGTCAATGAGTTCAAAGATCCTCTCTATGCTTACCAACCAGCTCTACCAGCTAGTTTTCTGTTTTCAAAGGATCTGTGCTACCACCAAAAGTTGTGGAATACTGTTTCCTGAATTGCTCTACAATAGTAGTAGTGGTTCTAGTGTCTACTATCGCCTCTTAAGGGGGTTGAGGTTGATGTGGTGCAGGTGGTGGTGTTGATTGCCGAGGAGATTGTGGTGCCGACGTCACAGTTTGGGTGAATGTACGCATTATGGCGCAAAATTGTTGGGCAAATGTGGGTCAATCGCAATAGATTGAGGCTATTGGGGTTGTTCATTTCTATTTTTTTTTCTACCTCGAGGTGCTGTAGCCTTGAATCAAATGTAATCAAGGAAATTAAAGACGGAAAAGAAAGAGAGCAATAACATATTTATTCATAAGTTCTTAAAATTTTGAAGACGAAAAAGCTGACAATGCATACCAAGCATCCATGCTAAAATGGAAAGGTCTATAGTTAAATGCAAAATTCTAAACATAACATCAATGATTATAGTCTAATAACTCATCTCAACACTCTTTTTCTTGATTTTTCTGAGGGTCCTTTCTTATGTTGAAGACATCTGGGTGTACTTTATAATGTTACCCTCACTATCAACCTATAGTATTTCTAGATAACTGATATAAGGAGCTGGATCGAATAGGCAACGATGGCGATGATCAGGCTCATATCCGCAAGCCTCTATATATTATCGTAATCCTTACCGTTAATGGCCAACCTTTCCATATGATTGGCAATTAGTGGTTGGGTAGATATGTGACAATCGAACATTACATCAATCTATTCAGCAAACTTTTAAGGTCCTAAAAAGGTTGAAAATGGCCTCATTCATATTCAACTCATGTCCATTTAGTCTCGCTCCTTGGTAGATCATTTCTATGGCATCCAAATATTTTATCGGGGTATGGGTTGGGTTTTGCTCGTAAGTCCTAAAGACGTGTAGAAACTTTGAATGATTTCTTGTCCTTTTCCTCTTGCTCTTAACTTGATCGGATCTTTTAATCATCTACAAAGGCGAAATGAAATTAATCGAAATCTTGATTTAACTTGAAATTTCCAAAAATAGGACTTTCCTAATCTAAAAATTTCCCAAAAGTAAGATTTTACTTTCCTAAATTTAGAGTGAATTTTTAATTTGTAGTCTTGCTTTCATTTCGTTGATTTCTAAAACATGTAATAAAAGGCTCCCGGTTGAGGAGAAGATTACAATAGATCACTTAAATACAAACTTTCCTTAGATATTTTAAGTTGTTTCGACAAATATTTTCAGTTTCATGAACACAAATTCACAAAAAATAAAAAATAAAATTAAAAATTAAAAAACTGTAGATAGAAACAAAAGTATCTGAAAGTATAAATTTTCTCAGTTGGGTAATTCCTAATCAGCACCCCATACTTAAAAGCATAATAATAATCATTCTTATCCTATTTTCACATAAATCTTTCATACTCAACATGCATCTATAAAATTGCATTATATAAGTCTTATAATTTCAAGATAATTCATGCTTCACATAATAAGCAGGTTTCATGGTATTTTGAATGATGAATATGAATGAGTAACAAGCATATAATTATAATATATCTGATTCGAGGAATCAGAACATGGAGAATGGCATAGCGAGGTAGTGACTTAAAATTCATTTAATTTTATTTCAAGACTAATGACTTATTTCTTAAAAATTATTATCTTTGGACCTGTTGATTCCTGAATAATGTAAATCTTTTTACATATATATATTTGAACAATTAAACTGTAACGTAATCTACTTAACCCATACACAAAAATTATATAAACAAATATTTTTTTTTTCTAAAATAATACGAGATTACTGTTCACATGAATAGTACCTCCACGTAAAAAGATTTTTATTTTTCAAATTTAAAATGTCTATAGAACTGTTTAAAATTCGTGCTCTGATACCAACTATAACAATCGGCTTCTAAAGATTTGAGTGTCACTAAAATCACATCTTGAATACCATACTACACTTTTAAAATATTGAAACTTTATTAAAAGCATAATGAAATAATAAGACTGCAAACATAAAGGACCCCATAATCAATGTTACAAAAATATAAAGTACGCATAAAACGCCATAAAAATAATTATACACTTGCTTGTATCCTGTAGAAGTGATAAGAGAATTACTAAAATGTACTTGGGACTTCAACCATTGGTCACTTGAATGAATATAGAATATTCATGTTTGTGTCTGTATTTCAAAGAGAAGTGAATATACTTGAAAGCTAAATAGATGATACCTATTTATAGGGACAACTATGCTTGGGGAGTTCTAATCCAATGCAATTTTGATTAAAAGTGATAAAATCTTATCATTATTCAACCATATTTCGATTAATGAGATAAAATAATAAATTTAAAATAAAAGATAACATTATCTCAATAATTTTTTTAATTTAATAATATAGAGATAAATCAAACTATTATCTCAACCATATAAAATTCAAATTTAATTCAAAGAGATAAAATTAAAGCATTATCTCATTTATCTTTAAAATAAAACAAGCTTTCAATAACTTGGGCTTAAGCCCAAAAGAAAAAATAAGACAAAAGGTGTGAGCTATTATTTACTTGATGGACTTTCATGTAATTGGCCAGCCTAAAATATTAATCGTGTTTATAATAGACCAAAGTTGAACTAATAAAATTAGTCTCACGGGTACGGGTATTACAATTTCAACCTAATTTGGGATGTGGTGAAAGTTTTAATTGGACATTAAGTTCATTGAGAATATTCTAGCTCTTGAAAATTTAGTGGAAAAGTTATGAGTTTATGATATATAAAGCTCATTTTGAGAAAAGGATTATACTCAATATGAATGTACTGAATTAGATAAATTATTTATTTCTATAAGCCTATGTTAGCCATAATAGTGTGTTTAAATTTACAGTTATACCAAATAAAACTAGAGACTGTATTTTATTTTCAAATGAGAATTGATTTGAGAGATCCACATGATTCGACTTGTAGATTTCACGTTAAAGACTTTTTAGTATATTGTGATAATTAATAGTTACACTCATGACCTTATACACAGTTATCTTAACAGTTTAATAGGGTTTAAATCTCATATGGATGAAAATTACTATATTTGTACAAGGTTCTAAGGGTAAGTTTTAATTCCAATTTTCATATTGATAACATTGTATTGACTAAGCATGAGAATGAGTGTATTGAGACTTTTTAATAAGGTTGTCCTCCGTCTTTGAGATAAAGGACATGGGTTTGGCAAAAATTATATATTTTGTGTTAAAAGATTATACTAACGTTTTTGCTTTGTTACAAGAGTTGTATACATTGAAGATTCTATAATATTTTTGAATGTAAAATTGCTACCCTATTGATATTTCTATATCAAAAGATGACTATATAAGTCTTCATATATGTTCAAGAATTCCATAAGTGCATCAAGAAATATCCAAAGAATCATATTTCGTATGATTAGGACTTAAAAGTATGCTATGATGTATACTTACCCTAAAATTTGTCATGCCATGGATTTAGTTAGTAGGTATCATCGTTATTCTTAGAAACGAGGGTGCTGCTATCAATTATTCTATTACTTAGAAATAGCTTGTGATTAGAATAGCTAAGCCAATGCTGATTAAGGATAAGAGATAGTCAAGCACGAGTAATAACTAGGTTTGTGCACTTTTACTATGTAGAGTAGAAAGAAGCATATCTTGTAATATATATCCTGGTAGTTGAAAAAATTGTTTGGTATAGAGATATTGAGCATCTAATGATATTTGTTAAGAATATAAGATCCATAATAGTTATGCGATTACCTCATGTGTTGAGGATCTTAAGTATCATGATGAAACTAAAGACTCGATTATATTTCGATGATAGACATTAGCAAAGAAAATACACTTATGTATCTACAAACATGATGATTTGTAATCACCATACTCTAAAAATGTCAGAGATATACTCGTTAGTGATGTTAATAGCTAGAATTGTGTAGAATATGATATTTTGTGTACCAAGAAAAATCTTGATTGAGTTTTAAATGCTTATATATGAACAATTTTTCAACAATAATCTATTGTTGGGATTACAAGATAATAGTTTGCATGAACATATAAAGTATGTTGAAGCGATTGAGATTGACTCACTCACACGAGTAAACACCTCAGATAATTTTGGGATATATTGAGATGAGATAAAGTGATCGTGTTATGTACACTATTTGGTTGCCTTGATGAAATATCAAGAGGAGATTATTAGAAGTAATTGAAATAGATCTTTGCTATCCATCAAACATGTTTAGTAGTCAAATTAAATTCCCAGTTTGAAATTTCCTAGATAAACTTAAGTGCAGAGGAATACTTGAACTAGGGTTTATACAATATTATTTAATTTTTATAAAAAAATGACACATGCCCTAAAAGAGGGGGAAAATATATAATATGTGTTTCATACCACGTGTGCTTTTACAACCAAGTGAATAAGTAAGTGAATGGACTCCTGCTTCCTCATTGTGTGAAACGTTGAGGTTTATATAACATCATATATATCTTGTGACTTTGGACTGTTTCTCGAGATATTTATTTTGATGTAGCTATTTTAGCATGTTATCAATAATTATGAATAATTTGGTTTGATGGGATGTCCCTAGGAAAGTAGCTGTTTTGAAGTTGAAGGATTTGAGTAAGAAAAAAACTATTTCAACGAATATTTATATTTGTATTCAATGATCGGACAATTTGTTAACCATTCAGAGTATAGAACATTATTTTGAATAAAATGATACGATGTGTCTCATAGAACATTATTTTGAATACAATGATACAATATGTATTTATATTTATATTCATATTCAATGATTGGACAATTTGTTAACCATTTAGAGTATAGAACATTATTTTGAATACAATGATACGACGTGTCTCATAAATAAATGAGGGATCAAGCCCATCATATATGAGTGAGAGATGTTATAAAATACAGGTAGTGGGTTCGTCCATGTGGAGTGACTCGACCCGTAAAATATTAAAGTGGACTGAAGGGAATGGTTTGAATTCTATTCAAACCCATAATTTTCTATAACATGCAATTAAGAGAGAGAGAAGATGGCAAGAAAATTGTGTAAAATTCGAATATGAAAATGCACCAAAATTGGACATATCATAAAATGACTATTTTGGCATGAAAACTTACAATATTAGACACTTTGATTGTGAATAATAATTTCCTTTCATTGTAATCGGAATTGGGACGATTGGAGTGCTAGAATATGGAGAATTCGGGATATGAAATAGCAAAGTGATTCAATCATACACACCTTGGAATTCTTGAACCGAATTTATGTTTAAGCATGCTGCGATTTTTTTTTAAAAAAATTTGAACTTTCATATTGGTTTAAGTAGGGATGGCAACGGTTTGGTTTCGGTTCGATTTGGCCAAAACCATCACCGAACCGTCAAATTTTTTGTCATACCATAACTGTACTATAACCACGTAAATTGGTTCGATTCGGTTCGATTCGTATATTGGTTCGGCTCGATTCGATTCGGTTAATAACCACAAAAATAAATTATTTTTTATAGGTCTATCCGTCAAATTGATATAAAACAATTTATGAAAAAAAAGTTAATGAAAACAAAAACACAATGTTCCAAACGAAAATACAAACATTATCCCAAATTTCAATTGCAAAATACAAATTTAAGAAACAATATTATGAATATAATAATACTAAACTTTTCCTTCATTTGTGATTCTTGTGCATTGCACTTACTTGATTCATGCTCAATAGTTCAAAAGTTTCAACCTTAACTCATATTTAATTTTCATTCTTCTCCACAACTCTTATTAACATAGATTGATACTCAAAATTGATTCCTATATAGTAAATAAGAAATGTAAGTAGAGAATACAACGATACAACCTACTCCAAAATGATTTTAACTAAGATTTAAAAAAAAAAGTACCTCTTTATCAACTTCCTCCTCACTAAATCTTGTCATCCCTAACAAAAGAATGATTTTTTTAAAGCGGTTAATCGGTTCGATTTCAGTTCAATGACATAAACATCATACCCGCACCACCACGAATCAGTTCATTAAAATCAAATACCATATCCGCCCCCATTGCACCATCAGTTCAATTTTTTCGCCCATTCGATTCGATTAATCAAGATTTTCGATTTTAACGGTTCAAATTGCCATCCTAGAATTCAGCCACACTCTTGTAATTGCCTATAATAGACTAAAATAATTTAAAAAACAAGAAGCTAACAGAACCAGAACCCGTTATTCTATAAGCTTCAAAAACAGTAAAATTGAGAAATATTATTAGGGAGGAATAATTAATCGAGAAGTCGAGAACTAATAATCGACATGGAGAAGAAAATCCTTTTCTGCCTTTTAGGTAGTCAACTTTGAAACTTGTCAAGAAGTTTCTTTAAAAACATACCAGTTGTGAGTGGATGATGTAAAGGAAGAAAAAGACAGAAATTAAAAGTTAAAAGAAAAAAAAAAAAGGGATCTTCCGAGATTTAACTTACTCATGTGCGTGTACCAGCAGAAAAAACTTCGGCTCTGTTCATGAGTCAGATCCAGAGATGATGATTTTAAGCTCTTGGTTACCATAGTATTCCAGTTGTTCTTCCTTAATTTGCATAACAGAATTTCTTACAGTCACGCAGCAAGAATGTGCCTCAATCATCTGCAGAGTTGGAATATTGCCTAATTCACAAGGGATATTCCTCAGTTTATTGCATTCTGTCAACACTAATCTTTCAAGTATCGGGAAATGATCGTATGAGACATTCCATTGTTCAATTTCAAGGCTATCTAGTTTCAAGAATTTCAGTTTCTGGAACTCATCATCTTCCGTGTTCCATATTTCTCCTTCAAAGGCATCACATTCTAATTTGAGTATCTCAAGGTTGGGCAATGTCCCGATTAATGACATTTTTTCGCAAGGCAAACCTAGTTTGGATAGAGTAAGCTTTTTGATACTACTGGGGAAGTTAATGGCTGTACATTTGCCTTTGAAGTCGCCTTGGAATACCATTTTGAGTGATTCAAGCTGCGTAAGAAAGTTGAGATCAAGATGGCGATAAGCCCCATCACCCACTGATAATGGTTTACAAGTGCATTTGAGGCTATGAAGATTTGGTGAACATCTCAAGATCTCTTCATCCTTCAAATCAAAAATACAAACAAAAGAAAGGGTTTCTAGGTTATTTATTTGCGAGCTATCGCAATTATCGCCGAATCTCACCGGGTCTCTGACATGAAGATGCCTCAATTTAGTCATATTCAGAAGGAAAGGTGGTATAACATCTGCATGCTCTGCAAGAATAATTTCTAGGTTCTCGAGGGTTTCTATTGATGAAGATAAACGTGGAATTCCCAAGTACCTCAAGTGAACAAGGAACTCGATTCCCTTTGGAACCATATATTTTACTTTCTCCAAGACCCTAGTAAGTTTTAAATTACGAAAAGGAATCAAAGGAATGCCATAGGGATAGGACAACAAAGAGCGAATATGTAGGCCAAAGGGTCTTGTCCAAGTAGCATCAGTGTGATCATTGACGTAGAGGCGATGATGTTGCTCATAGATTGAGAATTGACTAAATAAGGAACATCATTAGCAACCGCATGGATCAACATCGGCAACAGCAACAGCAACAGCAACAGCAACGTAGTTGACATGACCAAAATTATCATTAGTAGGCTGTAGGCTAAAATGGGAAAGAAAAACAAAACAGAAGGAAGTCATGAGAATGAGTTAACTTACTTTTCGACCACCTTCAGGAAGTTTTCTTTCCTTGCTATCCTCAAGCACATATCACGTATTAGATCGTGAATATAACAAGTTTTCACTCCACCATCGGATCTTCCTTTGGCAACTTGTACCAAGCTCCTGTTAATTAGGTCCATTAGATATTCCTCTGCTACATCCTCTAATCTTTTCTGCTCTTTTTTCTGTATAAAACCTTCAGCAATCCACAGTGATAACAACTTCCTAACTGGAACTTCGCTGTCTTCCTCGAATGCTCCAAAGTAAAGGAAGCACGGTTTCAAATGAATAGGTAAATACTCATAACTAAGTTCCAGTATATCTTTGCTAGGGTCCTTGGAAACGTAGGAAATTAAACTTCTTGCTACTTCTTTCCATAAATTTTCTTTCTCCTCCATATTTGAAAGAACAGAAGCTATCACAACGACAGCAAGCGGCAGTCCCTGACAATTTCTTGCAATTTTCATTCCAATGTCTTGTAGTTTTGGAGGGCAAAGATCCTTCTCGAATATCTTCTGCTTTAGTAAATCCCAACATTCATCTTTTGACAGGAAAGGAAGTTCATTAATAATACCATTTGATGATGCTTCCAAAGCCACATCTTTCATCCGACTGGTGAATAGAATTCTACTTCCATTTTTGTCATCTGGAAAATACCTTCTGAAATCATCCCATGCATTTATATTCCATATATCATCCATTACAATCAGATATCTCCTTCCTTTTAAATTTTTGTAAAGATATTCAGCCAACATCTCATCGTTCATGTTCACCATCGTATCCCGGTTAAGATTACTTATGGAACTCAAAATGTCAATTAAAATATTTCTCTTTTGATATGTTTGAGAAATAACACACCAAGAACGCTTATGAAAATGATAAAGAACAGAGGAGTCATTGTACAATTTCTTAGCTAAAGTGGTCTTACCAAGTCCAGGCATCCCAATGATGGAAATAAATTGTAGGTATCCTGGTCCTCCAACAAGCTGGCTTGCTATTCTGATCCTCTCCTCCTTGAAGCCCACAATAATTTCATCAACTGGGATAATGATTTTCTGTTGGAATGATGCTACATTTAGACTTGGTGCAACTTCTAGCCTTTCAACGCCATAGTCAAGCTTGATTTCTGAGAGTGTAGTTTTGATGAATTTATTCTTCTGGACGAAATCAGAGAGCCGAACGGTGAGATACCAAATAGGAACGTCTCCAACCACAAATGAGTTAATGATATATTCAGCTTCATATGCCAGGTTGCTAAGTCTCTTTACACATTCTTTCATCTCCAAATGTTGTCGCACCTCTATATCCTCGAGGAAGGATCTGGAGGACATCAATTCATCATGGAATGTTATTAATTGATCCTTGACATCAACAATGAGATCTGCCTTGTTATTTAGTAGATGACTGAGATCAGCAAGGAGAGAATCAACAATGAATAATGAAACCACAGCAGTGTTTTGAGCTGTATACGTTGGCAGCTTCGAGAATGTGACACAACACACTTCAATCTTTGCATTCAGGATCTCAAAGTTGGGTAACAAAATAGAAAGTGCCAGATCCACTCGATCGTCGGTGAAAAGGAATGAGTGCAAAAGAATTCCTGCTTCGTTAACAATATCTTCAATATCTATCCATATATTACTGATTTCTTGTAGTTCAGTACAGTGCAATGGTGTATCACCAAGAAAGGTGAGCAGAAATTTCAGATCCATCAAAAGAAGTTTAAGTTGATCTTCCTCCGGAACGTTGGAATCAGTTTCAGAATCCAGCAATACTTGTAGAGTTTCAACCAGAAAGTCTATAAAGCTTGGTAAAAGTTCGTTTTGCTTAGAAAAATGCTGCAGCTTTGGAATTGCAAAAATCTCCCTAAGCTCTGGTGTGAAACAGAAAAGGAGCTCTAAAAATTCTCGACAAGATTCTCTCTGTCTTCTGTAGTAGCAATCGTCAGCTAAATCCTCCGTCTGCTGTATTAGCAAGCTGCATCCCTTGAAAGCTGAATCATCAAGACGTTTCAACAGATCTTTAAGAGTACTATGCTCTGAGTGGATGTGCAGTTTGATTGCATAGCCAAATAGAACGTCCAAAAATTGTGGTCCGTTCCATCGAAAGCTTAGAATTTTTTGGCTTCCTTCAAGAATCAATTCATTTAGATGCGGAAAGAATGTTGGGTGTCTGATTAGATATGTCAGATAAATGAAATAGAAACCCATTTTCTTTTGGATGCAACGAGCAAAGTCAGAGAAAGGAAGCAAGAGGAGTGAATGCGTATACTAAGCCCCCTTTTTTCTGTGATGTATTTAAATTTATTAGAAAATATCTATGTAGTCACTTTTGGGTGCTCAAGTCAAATAATTTCCTCATATAATAATAAAGGGAAATTGCAGAGTGTGTCAATTTTCTTCAAGATATTTACAAAAATGTCAAATTTATTTATTTATTTATTATTATTATTTTTTAACAAGAATGTCAATTTAAAACATATTTATCCCTGAATATAATTTCAAATTCCTTACACGTCCTAATTAAATGAGATTTGACACAATGGAAAAAATTGTACAAAAATCTTGTCAATGTCTAGGTTGAAAAGTTGGCAAAAAAAAGAAAAAAAAAGAGATGAATCTTATTTCTTTCATTCAAATAACCCTAACTCTCTCATACACACACACTCTCTCTCATTACGGGCTTCGATCCAAGGGAGAAAAATATGGATTTGTACTCAATTTTTGCAATATTTTCATCTGTAAAGGGTTTATGAGATGCAAAAAAATAGAGTTTTTTGTTGGGTTTAAAATAAGAGCTGGAGCTTGGATTAAAAAGAAGTAAAAATCCTTTTAATATTCTATAATTTTTTTGGACATTTTGAATAATTTTTGGCTATGTTATGGTTGGAAATGTTTTTCCCCTACTTTCTGTAATTTCATACCATAAATTTTAATTTTCTCTTTTGTATACATCTTCTATTAGTGATGTATATATGTACTTGTTACACGTGCCAACACTAATGTTGAGGGATAAAATTATCTAGGGTTCCAATTTAATATTTATCCTCTTCCTTTGTTTTCAAAATTCAGATTTCAAGTATTTTGGATGTTTTAATGTTGGATGAAAATCTGGATTGACACTTGATATATCTTTTGTTTCAATGTTTTTGGCACTTGTGTGATGTGGAAATAATTTTGCTATCACTTGGAATCCATTTGTTGTGGGGGTACTCATATTCAGTTCGAACTCTTGCTAGACAGTTGAGAGCATACTTGTGGTTTTAATGTTTTGTCATGCTCAAATATAGAGTGAAATAATTTTCAATAATACCTATTTGCTTAGAGGTGAAAAGTAGATTTTTCGATAGTTCATCTGTCGACAGTTCACTAATGTAGAGAAATGCCATCACGCCTAACTGTCGTTTAGCCTCAGTAATTCTCGACAGATGAACTATCGAGAATGACAGTTCAGTCCTTCTCTCCATTCAGTTCCACAAGTCAAACTTTGGTTCATTCTAGTATTGCACAAGTGTTTTGAATGAACATATATGAAATGCTATGATCTCATGATTTTTTGATTGATTTGTCCGTATGTGGTTACATTTTTTCCATCCGAACGTCTCACATGTGACTGATTTGTTCATATGTGGTCATATTTTTATGCTTCACATTTTTATTTGTATAACGATGCCACCATCGTCACGATTCATTTTCCATAATTTTTTGATCACATTCAGATCTATTTTTGTTGAAGTTGAATGTTTGAAAAAATATAGATAAATTCAGATTACGGTAAATTGCATGAATCAAGTGATCGGATTGTTTTTGCACACACGGTGAACGTTATTGCATTTCTTCACATTGTTTTCTACGTGCTTTATCTCGAAATACTAATTTTACCAATATATGATGACATATGAGCAGATTCATACTCATGACCTGAATGATCCTCAAAGTGTTGGTGTACACATTATTGTTATAATTGAAGGTGGAACCAATCGATGTCTTGTCAAAGAAAGAGCAACTTTCACAATGGTCTACTTCTGATAACTGTGACAGCTGCACAGAAGAACATTTTGTTTTCTATTTATGTATATAATTTTGCGTTCGTTAGTTCTATTTATGTGATATTGACAGAGGAAATTTTTTGTATTTCGTACGAAAAATGTTTATAGTAAGGAATAGTAGATAGTAAAGAGTAGTAGATTGTTTTTTAAATAGGGCCATGGAGCTACTCTACAGTACAAAACAATTGTCACATCATGTTCGGTACTTGAGCAAGGTTGTGTACATAAAAATGGTTTTTGGTGAGTTTTATAACTTTCTTGTTTTCGGAACTCATTTGATTTATCGATTAAAACTGGTATCCAATTGAAAATAAGCATGATTGAAATGAATATTATGATTTGTTTCAATTAAAAACGTTCGTGAATCATGGTAGTATCACTGAACATCATTTTCTTGCAAAACATAATGAGCACTTCTTTGTTTGCATTAAAATGTTGTGGTACCATGTTTCAATCAAGATGAAATGGTACACATGATTTAATGTACATAATTTTCCATAAATGATAGATCAAGTGTGGGTGATACAAGCACACTTAGACTTTAAAAGCATCACACTAATTGTCTTTCAAATTCAATTTGAGATGTGATGAAAATAAGTTTTCATCGTCGCGTATTTTGAGCGAAGGTATATTCAAGTTAAAGACCTTGAACTTCAATTCAATTTGAGTGCGGGGATCAAGAATATCAAGTTTGTCCTTCAACATTAACAAAAGTCCAATTATGATATTACTTGTCGAAACCAGAATGTAAGTTATTTTATCCCTTCTCCACTTCTATTCGTCATCCATATGAACAAATTTTCTCTCATTCGACACGATGAATCTCAAATGATTATTCATACTTGAAATGTTGGGACTGTAACGATAAGAATTCTACCGAATCAATATGTTGGTATTTAATAGTATGAAAGTGGCACTGCATAATACGTAAATCCGTACAGTAGTAAATGGTCAAATCAAGACTTTTCATCGTTTTTAAGTGTTCAATTTGACAGTAAAACTATATATCTTGACAATTTGTAAATGTCGGGTTCAATATTTCAAACGTCTAACCCGAAGATTTGTAAATGTCAAATTCGACAATTGAACCGTCCAAAATGTTGAGAAGTAGACAATAGTGGGCGGAACATATTCTTCAGCACAACACATTAAGTGTGATCATTAGTATTGAACTAGATGAAAAAGGTCAGATTGGCCCTGTCATTGAAGAGACATTTAATTAAAACATTATTTAGTTTGAATGGAAGAAAGTACTCAAAATCTTAATGGTGATAATCACATTTGTGAAGGATTAAAAAATAAAGAAATCAATGAATAATAGTTTCAAAATTTTTAAATAAATATGTCCAAGTTGTATCTAATATTTACAAACCAATAAATTGTAGAAGTAAAATATAAATATTTTCTAATAGCTAACTTCTCAAAATGGATTATGAATGTAAGAGAAAAACCTTCTTAACCAATGAAAATGAAGAATATGAGAAAAATTAGGGTTTGAAAGGGAAGAAGGTATATTTGTTTATGTTTCATTTTTAGTTTCTTTTATCCTTTTTTATTAACACAAATTCATATTAATCAATCTAATACACATTTATTCATTATTTTTATATATAAAATAAATCATCATATCAACATAATCAACTCCTTCAAATCAAGTATTAAATGCTAATGAAAATGTGTCATTAAAAGTAATTTGGATATTTCACACAAAAAGTAACATTTTTGCTCACATAAAGTGAAACTGACAACTTTTGAGGACCTTGTTAATTTTGTGACATTTTTGGAAATTCCCCTAATAATAATCATTTATTTACTTTAAAAGACAAGTTGGAGACATGAATTTTACTGGAAAGCACGTGAATTTTGCTAAAACAATTTGTTGAAGAAAATAATTTGACCAAACATTTATTGTAAGGCTGGTTCAGGTGGGTAGTTTTTATTCCCCTTAGTCGTGCCAATTTCATTTGGCAATATCTGCATGTTATTTTAGATTCTTGCACTTTGTCTTGTTGGGTGGTTTTTGACATTCTCGACTTCAAAATCTAACTCTAGAGATGAGACTTTCTCTCACACTTAAAAAATTATCACAAGTCCCTTTCACAATCGATGTGAGATAACCTCAACAATTTTTCCCTCACACATTGAGCCTTGTGGAAGACTAAACCCATCTCCCCCTTACATATTCGGGCCTGCGAGAGACCAAACTCGTCTTGCCCTCACACAACGGGCCATGGGTGAGACCAAATTTGTCTCTTTCTCACATAAACCCGCATCTTTCATGGCTGTTGGGCCTGAGACTTGTTGATAATCTGAGCTCTGATACTATTGTTGGATGGTATTGGACTTTTTCAACCCCAAAAACTAGTTTAAGAGGTGAGACTTTTTCCCATACTTATAAGCTGACTACCAGCGTTTTCCACAACCGCATGGGACAATCTCAATGCGTCTACGATATGATCAGTGTGAATCAATTTGATGTGTTCACAAGTTTCGATCTTTCATGGCTGTTGGGCCTGAGACTTGTTGATAATCTGAGCTCTGATACTATTGTTGGATGGTATTGGACTTTTTCAACCCTAAAAACTAGTTTAAGAGGTGAGACTTTTTCCCATACTTATAAGCTGACTACCAGCGTTTTCCACAACCGCATGGGACAATCTCAATGCGTCTACGATATGATCAGTGTGAATCAATTTGATGTGTTCACAAGTTTCACACTTTGTTAGAATTATCATTTACCTCTTGTATCAACTACTTAGATTTCTTCTTTTTTTTTCATCAATGTTATCCAAATCAATTGGATGCTTACTCCTATGAAAATCATCAACTCCCAAATCATCAAGAATTTAGTTGTTATTGAGACTACTAAAATCATTATCAAACACAGGAGACATAAATTGAAGTGTTAATGGTGAGTTAACACCATCAAACATAGCCTCAACATAGCTATTGAGATCCATTTATATAAAATGAAATTCGAAAGTATAAATCTAAAATAGAAAATAATCGATGAATAATTGAATTGAGAATAAAGTAAGAAAATATATAGAATAGTTATGAACAATTAAATAATATTGAATAAAATGAATAATATAAAGAATTGAGTTGAGAATGATAAATTTAAATTGTAAAATGTAGATTGCTGAAAATTCGTGTAAAAAAGGTTAAAATGGTGATTTATAGAGTTTAAAAAAAATAAAAATAAAAAAATTGAAATGACCATGTGGTCACA